AGATGGTAAACAAGACAAAACAGCAGCCCACAGAATGGGAAAATATCCTCACCAATCCCACATCTTACAGAGGACTGATCTCTAAAATATGTAAAAATTCAAGAAGCTAATCACCAAAACACTAAATAATGCAACTAAAAAGTGGGGTACAGAACTAAATAGAGAATTCTCAATAGAGGAATCTCAAAAGGCTGAAACACAATTAAGAAATTGTTCAACATCCCTAGCCATTAGGGAAATACAAACCCAAACAACTCTGAGATACTATATTACACCTGTCAGGATGCTAAAATAAAAAACACCAATGACAGTGTATGCTTCAGAGGAGGTGGACAAAGGAGAACACTTCACCTTTGCTGGTGGGAGTGCAAACCCATACAGACACTTTGAAAATCATTATGGTGTTTTCTTAGGAAAATGGGAATCAATCGACCTCAAGACCCATCAATTACACTTTTAGGCATATAGCAAAAAGATGCAGATTCACACAACAAGGACATTTGTTCAACTATGTTCATAGAAGCATTATTTATAATAGCCAGAAACTACAAGCAAGCTAGAAGCCCCTCAACCAAAGAAAGGATGAAGAAAATGTGGTACATTTACAGAGTGGAATATTACTCAGCAGAAAACAAACAAACAAAACCCCAAAACAATGAAATCTTGAAATTCACAGGCAAATGAACAGAACTGGAAGAAACCATCCTGAGTGAGGTAACCCAGACCTAGAAAGAAAAATGTGTTATGTACTCACTCATAATTGGATAATTGACATAAATCAAAGGATAACCATCCTACAATCTACACATCCCAAGAAGCTAGGAAACAAAGAGGATCCTAAGAGAGACATACATGGACCAGAGAAGAGGAAAGGTGCCTCTACCCATGGGACATTCAACGTGGGTCTAGTGGACACGTACGAGAAAGATGGGGGACAAGGGGATATGAGAATGGACACCAAGACCGGATTCTGATCAAGGTGACATCTTTGTTCATCACAAAGGGATTTATATAGGAGAAGTGAGGAGGGGAAGGGGGAAAGGTGTACTTGAGGCTGCAGGGCAAGAGGTCAGTGGGGAAGGTGGTCTACTGCCATGCCTGGTGACCTAATCTACAGGGCAAGGGGTCAGGTGTAGGACCTTCTATGTTGTTTGCTACCTTGTTAGCAGAGTCTGATCCTATCTATTACAATTTAATATTCTTCAGGCCTGTCTCCTGAGCATGTTGTAGTTTTCCAATTAAGCTAATCTTTAACTGACAGATAAACTTCAGGCCTGTTTCTTGGAATTTGGTTTATGTCAGAAGAGGTGGCAGGGTGGTCTTAGTATCACAACTTTTCTATGAGTACGTGATGCAGCCTAGCTGACTGATAGCTGGAGGTCCCAAACAGAAAGGCACAAGTTCGTCTGATCAAATTGGGATCATGGGGGGAGGGAGAGAGAGGGAAGAGAATGAGGAGGGGAGGCAGGAATGGGGCAGAAGAATATGAAGTATCAGAAAGGTTAAGTGGGTGAAGAACAGAGAAGGAGAAAAAGAAAAGAGATACCATATTGGAGGGAGCCAGTATTGGTTTAATGAGAAATCTGGCACTACAGAAATCTCCAGGGATCCACAGGCATGAACCCTTCAAAGCAATAGGGGAGAGGCTACCTTAAATGTCCTTCCCATAAAATGAGATTTATGACTACCTTAAATGCCATTATGGAGCCTTCAAATTGTAGCTAATGAAACCAGAATCAGAGATTCACATTTATACACTGAGCCAAACTCCTGTAATGTAGTTGTAGAAAAGGAGGAGGTGTAAAGACGAGGCTGGGGAAACCCACAGAAACACCTGACCTGAGCAAACAATTTCTTATATACAGGGTTTTATTTGAGTCAAGCTCCTGTTTGAATTTTAGTTCTCAGTTTCTTCTGGGCTCTAGCCAGTTCCTGACTAGAAGCTAATACTCGGAGAACGTGAAATGTTCCCGAGACCCACAGCTGATGTAGGCAATAGATACAAACTATAAGCAGGGACTTTTTAGTATTTCACACATTCCTACACTGTGAGGTACCACTTACTTTAAGGTCTGTCTTCTCTGCTCCAGTCTTAGAGTACTGCATCATCTGTAAGGATGATGATTCACTTTGAGAGTCAGTTGCTGGCAGATAAGTGGAATGTACTGCTCTTTACACTGACTTGTGGACCACTAGGAATTACTGGTATGGCAGGGACATGCCAGTTGGCATACTTAGTTGGCATGCTGAGACTCATTTCCATCTGTATTCAACATTTACAGACCGTATCTTACACAATGGCAAAGATGTATAACATTAGATGTTTTTTCTGTTTATTTTTTATTGCACACCAGAGTTTTGTCTGTGTATATGTCCGTGTGATGGTGCCAGATACTCTGGGACTGGAGGTAGCTGTCAGTTGTGAACTGTCATTTGGGCCCTGAGAAATGAACCCAGGTCCTCTGGAAGAGCAGACACTGCTCTTAACCAATGATCCTTCTCTTCAATCCCTTTACATCCTAATATAAGAGACTCAGAAGTTCAAACTTCTAATCCATTTTCTATAGTCTGTTTTCAATAGTCACTTTGCCTTGGCAAATGACAGTTTGCACAGTTTCTTCTATCTTATCTCTCAGTCCTTTTCATTATAGCAGATCAGGCAAGGCATGTGCCTATTGGAAAATAATTGTCTTACAGTGGTGTCAAAAATTATTCCATACTCCCAAGGAAATAATATTACACAAAAAATTCATTGTTATATTTGAACAATGAATCTCCCACCACTGACCAAAATCTCTTCTTCAGGATTGTATTGCTGAGTTCTGTATGTTGATCCACAGACAGCAGGTGTCTGTCTCCACACTAGGCATAGCTAGTATAGGAGACCTCAAAGTCCACCCCCACAGTGACATAGTTCCTACAATAAAGCTGTACTACTCCAACAAAGACACAACTCTAAATTTTATCACCCTCTGTGAGTTTATGTGGGCCAATCACTTTCAAACTACCACAGGAGGCTTAACTATTCTAGGATTGAGGTCGCTGTGCAACTATCCAGAGAAGAGGAAGCTGTTGTTAGTAGTTTCTCTGTCTACTATCAACACTTTGTCATCCCAATGAATCGCAACTGGATGGGAGGGACTTTTCGAATCTCATGTGTCTGACAGTCTTGGTTCCTTAATATACTCTTACTAATGCCAAACAAAAAACACTTCATAATCTCTCTACAAGTTTTTTAAATGTAATTATTGATGTTTGTTAGGTGAGAGGTGAATCAGTGTGTCACTGTATATCTCTAGTTCTGTACATATGGCAGGTTATGTTCATGTGTGTGAACCAAGTTTTGGAGGTTATATTTCTGTGTCAGCTGTCTCTCTATAATTCTCTCGATATTAATTTTATAAGATAGAATGTCTGACTAAAATTTTATTAGCTATTTTTGGTTGAACAGTAATGAAAGGAGTAATGAAGAAAGTCCTATGTCTCTCCAAATGCTAGAAAATAGTCATGGCCTAGCCCTAGACTCAACTATTTCGTATTCATAGTTCCTTTCATGACTTTTTACACTTAATTCATATGTCTCTAGATATACTGATTTCGCTCCTTTCCAGGGATAACTGGAACATTCCGAAATGTAATATATATACAGCAAAATAACAGACAACATCGAACAAAGTGGAGAGAAACTCAATGTGATTCCTCTAAAATCAGGAACAAGACAAGATTGTCTACTCTCCCCATACCACTTCAATATGGTACTTGAATGTCTAACTAGAGCAATAAGACAACAAAAGGAGATCAAGGAAATAAAATTCTCACTATGTGCAGATAATATGACAGTTTACATAACTGACCTAAAAAACTCTACCAGGGAACTCCTACAGCTGAATAATACCATCATCAAAGTGGCATTATTCAAGATCAACTCAAGAAAATCAGTAGGCCTATTCTATACAGATGATAAAAGGGCTGAGAAAGAAATAACAGAAACATCACCCTTTACAATTGCCACAAACAACATAAAATACCTTGGGGTAACCCTAATCTAACAATTTAAAGATCTGTATCACAAACAATTTGAGTCTTTAAAGGAAGAAATTAAAGAAAACAACAACTCCCATGCTCTTGGAAAGGTACGATCAGCATAGTAAAAATGGCAATCTTGCCAAAAGCAATCAACATAATCGATGCAGTCTCCATTGAAATCACAGGACAACTCTTCACAGACCTTGAAAGAACCATTCTCAACTTTATGGAGAAAAATAAAAGACCCAGGCTAGCCAAAACAACCCTTTTCAACAAAGCAACCTCCAGAGGCATCACCATGTCTGACTTAAAGTTCAATTATAAAGCTATACTGCTGAAAACAGCAGCCTTGTTTCTAATTTAAATTTAAAAATAAAAAAGATGAAAACTTAAAAAAAGAGAATTCTCAATAGAGGAGTCTACAATGACTGGGAGACAATTAAGAAAGTGCTCAACATCCCTAGCCATCACGGAAATACAAATCAAAACAACTCTGAGATACCTTCTTATTCTTGTCAAAATGACTAAAATCAAAAACACCAATGACAGCTTATACTGGAATGGATGTGGAGAAAAGGGTACACTCCTCCACTGCTGGTGGGAGTGCCAACTTGTACTGCCACTTTGTTTATCAGTATGGAGATTCCTCAGGAAAATTGGAATCAATCCACCATAAGACCCAGCAATTCCCCTTTAAGTGTATACCCAAAAGATGCACATTCATACAACAAGGACGTCTGTTCCACTACTTTCATAACAGCATTATTTGTAATAGCCAGCACCTGGAAGCAAACTAGATGCCCCTCCACTGAAGAGTGGATAGAGAAAATGTGTTACATTTACACAATGGAGTACTATTCAGTGGAAAAAAAACAATGGGATCTTGAAATATGCAGGCAAAAGGACTGCATTAGAAGAAACCATCCTCAGTGATGTAACCCAACCACAAAAACGCAAACATATTATGTACTTACTCATCCATGGATTTTAGATATGGACCAGGGGAGTGCCATCCTACAATTCCACTGCCAGAGAGTCTGGGAAAAAGGAAGGACCATAAGAAAGATATGTATGAGCAGATTGGGAGCATGGGGGGAGAGGAGAGGGAGCTAGAAAAAGAGAGGGGGAGAAAAGGACACGGAGGATCCGGAAGGATGAGTCGGAGGAAGAATAGGGGAGAGTACGATGAGAGATGTCATAATAGAGAGAGTCATAATAGGTTTTAGGAGAGTTCTGGCACTAGTGAGATTTCTAGAGACCTACAAGGATGACACCAACTGAGAAATTAATCAATAGTGGAGATTCTACCTTAATTCCCCCTGCCTGATAATGAGTTTGATGACTACCTTATATGCCATCCTAGAACCTTCATCCAGTGACTGATGAAAACAGATGCAGACACCCAGAGAGGAACACTGAACTGAACTCCTGGAACCCAGTGACAGAGAGGTCAGTGTGATGAACAAGAATGGGCTGGAGAATTCTACAGAAACAGTCGACATGAACAAGGGGAGCTCTTGTACCCCAGACTGATGGCTGAAAGGTCAGCATGGGACTGATGGAGACCCAGTGAGTGTGGATGTCAGGGAGGAGGCCTAGACCTATATTGGACCTTGGGTAGTAGATCAGTATTTATCGCTGGCATACAAATGAACTTTGGGTGCCCATTCCACCATGAGGGATGCTCTTTCAGCCTGGACTGTTGGGTGACGTCTTAGGTCCTGCTTCGAATAAAATACCAGACTCTGGAGATACCAAATGGAGGGCCTCACCCTCTCTTGGGAAAGGAGAGGAGATTGAGTGGGGCTCTAGTGGGGGAGCAGAGAAGGAGGTAAGGATTTAGAGGGAGCCGAGATTAACAATTGAAGCAAGTTTGTTACTAATTTAAATAAAAGAATCTATACTTCACAATAAAAGCAAAAAAAAATGAAAAACATGTACATGAACATAGAAACCTAGCCTGTCATGCTGAATTTTAAGATCAGAGTTAACCTTTTCCATGATCCACAGCTGTTTTTAAGAATGTATGTCTGTGTGGGCCCAAACCCCCTTCCAAGTTTTAAAAAAAGCTATATTACTTCAGGGTGCTCCAGAGTAACAGACCTCAGAGAATAACCTGAATGTGTGTGTGTGTGTGTGTGTGTGTGTGTGTGTGTGTGTGTGTGAAAAGAGATTCATTCTATAAATTCATTTACTCTAGAAAACACACACACACACACACAGGAACACACACACACAAACACACAAAAACCACATACACACAAGGGATGAGGTATATTAAAATGGTACCCAGGCTCCAGTCTATCTAAGCCAATATTACTTGGCTATAATTCCAAAGTCCAAGACAACTATATGTTCAGTTCACAAGTCTGGATAACTCAGTTTGTCTTCAAAAAGCACTGGAATCTCAAAGTAGTAGTTTCAATGCCACCAAGGAAATATACTTGCTAGCAAGACAGGAGCAAGCAGACAATGGTCAAAACATTTCTCCTTTCATGCCTTATATAGGATTCCAGCAAAAGTTGTGGCCAAAAGTATAGTTGAGTTTTCTCAGGTAAAATGAACATTATTAAAGCTGTGTGATCTAATTTTAAGATCAGGATAAAAGTTTTTTTAACCAGAGGAAAATATTGGAATGAAAAGCATGCCTTCCTACCTCAAAGTATCTGATTGGAAATGGATCCTTCTATTTCAAATTAAGTAAAATTCCCACACAGGTGTGCTCTGTATTTTTAATCCCAAATGTAGTCAAGTTGACAACAAACAATAACCATCACAATTCCATTCCTTGCAGCTTGGTACACAATTATATCTCCTTGTGTAATGATTAATTTCCAATTACATACATTAATAAGGGCATACAAGGCATAAACATCATCAAACTATATCTTATAAAATTCCAATAGTATTATGAATTTAGAGTATGTCATGATGTTCTTTGAGGGACATTCTTTTACTATCTGAATTTTAAATGGTGATTATTAATATTGTTCACAATGTAATAAAATTAACAACAAGTTTTAGCTGGTATCATATTTAGACCCAACCAAAACAAATTGATGACACTAGATGATAGTTAAAATTAGCAACTACTATGATTAAACAGTTAGCTTTGGAAGACTATTCCCCACAATTTCTACAAACATACATGTATTAGTATGGTTTCTCAAGAGTAAAAAAATTCATAGAATATGCCTTGTAATCAGAATCACCTCTATTCATGATGTGGTACAAACTTTATACACTGTGAGAATGTGTTTTTCTCATTGTTAGTAGAAAGCTGATTGGCAGGTAGTCAGGGAGGATGTATACTGACTGGATTAACAAACTAAGAACTGGGGAGAAGGATGGCAGAGTCATTGAAGTCACCAGAAGACCAATGGAGAAACTAAATGGGCATGCCAAACTGTAAAACTGTACCAAGCACTGTGACAGAGTGCAGTTAAGAGTTATGGGTTCATGTACAACAAATAATTTAGCTTGTATCAAGCCTGACCTTTTAATTCAGCATTTATAACTAATACTAAGTATCTGAGTGATTGTGAATGACAGCTGGCAAAGGAAAACTATACCTACATACTATTCTTTCCAAACCATTTTTCCACGGTTAGCTGGAACCTGTTGCTTAACATATGCCAGGACACCAGTCATATGTGAATCTGTATCTATAGACCCACACTACAAAACCATGGAGACACCATCCAAACAGCTACCTTGAACATTAATGTCACAAGTATTTCTATTATTTTGTTTGTTTGTTTTAAACACACTGAGTCCAGTTATTGCTGTTAATATTTATATGTGTGTGGTATAATTCACTTGGATATTGGCAGTCTTCAATGTTCCAAAGCCCATGGAAATGTGATTCTTCACTACTAATATTCATTCAAAATATAATATGAACTCCACATATCCTCCCCTTCTTTGCCAGAAGTTTTAGAACACTTAATTATTTACAGGTCTGATGTTTTGTTTTGTTTGTTTTTCTTCTGTGAGTTCATTTTCAATATCACTGACTCAAGGAATTCTAGTAATTCATGGAGACATAAAGAGAACTCCCAGAGGAGTTGATATCTAAACAGCAAAAATAGAGATACAAATGGGAATGGTCAATCTGGGAAGTCACTCCTCTGATACATCACTTCTTATCATATACTCAGATCCTGAACCTATGAGCTTTATTTAGCTAAGTGTAGCCATCTACAGCTAGGTAGGCTATCTGGCCAGGGGAAAATTCTCATTTGTCTGTTGCTTCAGTTTGAAGTAGACGTGAAATTTTCTTATGTGTTAAAACGTAAATATATTTAATTTGCTTTGAGTTCAAGGTTCACAAAACTTGATCAAGAGAAGGTGGTTTGACTAATCAAGGAGATAAATTTCTATCCCTTTAGCTGAAAACATTTTGTGGGCTCACAGCCATGAGGGTATTTGTATATTTAACAAGAAGTCACAAAGCTACTGGAAGACAGTCTTTGTCCTTCCTTAGAGACATCAAGAAGAAAGGCATGAACATTTTTCCTCAAAGAGTTACTGCTATAGTTGTGATATTTAGTTGGGGATGTGGTCCTTTACTTTCTTTCCTTCTGGCTACATTTGGCATATGATATCTGACTTCTGAGGGAGGGAAACAATAGGAGGAGGGTCTGTTTGAGTGGAGTGTCTGACTGATAAAATTTGTGCCCTTGTAGATACCCTCTCTTTACAAGTATCCCTTCTGCACCGCAGACTCCCTTGTTCCCTATTGCATGTGCAAAGAAGACTATGGGCCTTGCTTAAAACTGTAGGTTCTAAAGTTTCTCATGATAATGTTGACAATAGGGAGGTAATTTTAGTAAAATAATCATTGTGTCTAATGATGTATATGTGGCTCATTAAAAGAAATCTTCCCTGGATTCATGAATACCTGGCTTCATTCTGCAAAATGGGAAAACTCAGTCATAGGAAAAATAAATACTTTTTCCCAAATGGGACTTAACATTTTGCTGAGCACTTTGACTCTAGTTGGAAGATCGCTAAAACTTGGAAACTCAATGAATTTGCATGAGCTCAAAGCCAGATGCTTGACAAGTTCCTGTGAGCAACAATTAATAATTAAAGCGGTTCTGCCTACTTGAGTGAGAGATTATAAATGTTCATGTTTCAGTGTATCTTAATGATTACACATTCTGTGCAAAAACTCCAACTGTTCAACATTTTTTAACAGTGTAATAAGGTGGGGCGTTGGTGGTGCACAACTTTAATCCCATCACTAGAGAGGCAGAGGCAGGTGGATCTCTGTGAGTTTGAGGCCAGCCTGGTCTACAGAGTGAGTTCCAGGACAGCCTCCAAAACAATACAGAGAAACCCTGTCTTGAAAAACCAGAAAAAAAATCAGTGTAATGAGATACATAGTACTTTTTCTCCAAGATGCCTGTTGTGTTTCATCTCTCATAATGGGAAAGGTATTTACTTTTTTTTCATTTTCCAGGGGCAGTCCCATAAACAAGCAGAGCATTTAACTATCAATGATATATAGGTGTATGAGGTAAATTATTGACACATTGTGTAATAGTTTGCTTGACTTTATTAAGTTGAGAAAAGGATCTAAAATGTGCTTACACAACAGAGTTTTTACAAAGGTAGCTGTTTTACAGGCAAGACTAGATTAAATGTTCTGTAAAATTACTTGAAATAAACAAAGAAGGCATTTTCAGAGTACATACCTTACAAGAAACAGTGTGGTACATCATAGTTAGATAAACCACTCAAGCAGGCATGATCAGGAGAACCAGAAGTGGTGAGATACTGGGGAACTTAGGTAAGATTTCTCTGTTTTGAGATCCTGCATTTATTCTCCCCTATATTAGACTTCCCATGGTTAAGATGGATGTGTAGTAATTATAGTCACTTCTGTCCTGTTCTTCACTCTATCTTCCCAAAAGAGACGCCATTTGTTAGTGTGCCTATACTCTGGTCTTTATAGCTACAACTTATCCATAGATGAGAAATTAATATTATCCTGAAGATAAAGAGTATTCTAGGAAATGTCTACATAATATATATATATATACATATATATATGCATATTTTTTCGGAGTCCAATGAAGGAAGGTTTTGTATTCCCTGATGTAAGAAAGCCATTATCCCTACAGGTAAAACACTTTGTTGTTCACCATTTGTGTTGAAGATTCCACAGTCTAATAAGTAGCCAATCACCTATACCTTGCAAATAATCCCAAGAACCCTACGTT